ACTTTTTTCTGTGATTTCTGACAACTCTACCGCTAATGGTAATACTGTGACACCTCAAATTTACTTAAAGGTGATCACCAGCCATTATTTTAACAACTGCCATCCAAAAGAGGTTAAATGGTTTCTGTCTGAAATGCTAATAACCACCTGGAAACTTGTCTGCTTTTGCCTTGCTTCCTTCTTCCATTTGAATAATTCAGGGGAAGGAATAACTGGGAATTTTACCAGAAAAGTCTGCACTGTAAGTACAATCTCTGCCATCCATCTTGCGCTCGTACATCAGGCATGGGGTTACTGCTGGAAACAGGTAGCCTATTGCTTCCTAAAGTTTTTGCATCTCTTTACTACATTGCTACCAAAAGTATTGTTATTGGCAGTAGTAGTAATAGTATCGCAATATGTTGTAGGGCATGCGCTGAGCTTAGTGGTGTCTAAAGACTCAATGAGAAATAGCCATTCCCATGAAGATCTTATGGTCTTCATGGTCTGGACTTACAAATAGCAGGAAATATTTCTTACACCCATTGTGAATCCAGCCTTCTAAGAAACACACACACTTTATAATACAAAAAAGCATAATTACACTCTATTACACTGTAGTTACATTTTTAACCTAAGATTTCCACTAATCTATATAACAAGGTACATCATGGATGGGCCAAAAATAATTACAGTGTAAAATGACATAATTAATATATCTGCATTTAAAAATATACAGTCAGATCCTCAGCTGAGTTAAATCATTATCTCTCTGATGATATCAGTCTGGTTCCTGTGCATTAAAAAGCAAATCATGGGAGCAATAATATCTCAATTATGTAGTTAACCTTCTGGTTATATTAATTAGTGATGATTAGGCATGGGAAACCATAATTATGTCATGTACATAACATCCCTTTGAAATTGCGTTGTGAATCCAAATACAAAAGGCAGATGTGAACATCGAACCAGGTTAATTTTTGATGTCTAGAACAAATTTGAAACTCAATTATTTGACCCTCTATCTCCTATCTGAAACACGTCAATGGTGATAACTCTGCTGATTTCAAATTTGCAGAAGAAACTGCAGTTTGTATTTGTCCCAGAAGAGAAATGCAAGGTAGAACTGTCCCATATTCTGATTGCACATGGTGGTTACTAAAACCAGACTTAAAAAAAAAAAAAAAAAGAGACAAACAAAACATTTATGTCCAGTTCAGTTCCTAAAGGAGGAAGCCCTGAAACTAAAGAAGCACTTTTTCTCTAACTCACCACATTTAGCCATTTGTCTGGGGTATGAAGAGCTAAACATCAATGCCTCTTGCTCCTGTTTGCAGGAGATCCTGGCAGGCAGAGTGTTATTTGCACAGGACCTTTCTGAAGAGTTGCTCCTCACTGGCTCCAAAAACACAGTGGTAGACACTGTACTGGGGAAACTGATTTTCCTGAGGCAGCTGTCTGACAAGACCAGGGTATTGGGAAGGAGTCAGCACAAGCAGGATTTTCCGCCACTGTCCTCATGCTGGCTGGGACTAAACCACGACACTAACTTAAGACTGAAGTTTCTCACCTTCAGGGATAAAGAGAAAAGCCAATCTGAGCTAATGCTCTTCCCCCAGTATATCAGAGATATGTTTTATCCCAGCAGACCGTTCCCTCACAGCAGGACTACAGTAAATAATTAATGTGTAGGTCATTCAGTCCAAATTTAGAAAAATATTAAACATTTCACTTGTATATAGGCTTCTATCACCTACTGAAAGCGACAGAAGCTCTGCATTGGAATAGGAATTATGGACCTAAACATTTGTACAAGTCCAGGGTTATTCTTGTCATTCAGATGGCAGCATCCTGTCATCTCCACAAGAAAAAAAGACAAATGCAGAAGAACATCACAGAATTTCCATTAGAATTAATCCTTTGAAAAGTGAATGTTAGAAGCAACTGCATATTTTTGACCAAACAAATATACTTTAAATGGACATTTTGCAAATGTCAGGTTGAAACATGCCAAAGTTAAGAGCTGCCGGAATTAAGGTTGCCTGTGTTTTCTGCATAGCATCACACTTGCAGGCACTTTGTGGCTATTATTGCCTGGTTTTTGCTTTTACGTTTTTAATCTAACTAACTTGACTTTGAAAGGCTGATGTGCAAATCTGGCATTTGTAATTCTGGGAAACCCCACTTTGCACACTTTTTCATCTATATTCATTCAATTACTTTTTAATGTACTGTTTGCTTTCTGCTGTGCTAGCAGCAAGGGACATAGGTACAACATGGGCCACAGTTACATATTGCTCCACAGAATTAACAGCATTGGGGTCTTCAGTGGATCTACTCTAAGGTGTCAGGACACTTCATGGTAAACCAGGTTCAATAGAAAACCCTGCCCTGTGAGCAGCCCAGGTCTGTGAGGCCCTGGGCACATCATGGACAGGGCAAGGTGTCATTAGCTGGCACTGTCATTTAAGGGACTAAAGGCACATGGCACTTTGCAGCATGTAACCCAGTAGGACCTTGGTAAGATATTCCTCCTGTCTTTTAGTTCACCGAATTGTAAACCTGTCGCCTAATATTTACTAACAGCAGTTCCCAGACATTGCAAGCTGTTGTCTAACAATATTTCCCATACAGTCTGAGATTCTTGAATGAAATTTCTGTAGAAGGATTACTTAAATGTTTTCTTTTTCACCCTGAAGTTCATTCAATATAATGTTATAGAAGCAATCCTTGCAAATATCTCACTTGAACAGAGGGGGTTTTTTTCTTTTCTTTTGCTCTTGGCCGTGGCTGTGACAAGAATGACAGCGCAAAACACAACAGAAAGTTATAAACATTACTTTTCCTCAGACAGCAAACAAACTCCTGGATTACCACCATCCTAGATGGGAAACTGAGCCACTCTGCTTTCAGAAACTCCCACCCTTGCCTCATCCTTGGGCTGCAGGGTGTGTACAAATTGACTGCAAAGCTGCTGCCATTTCAGTTGATGCTCCTGGCCTGCATGGATGCTGATGTTTTTGAGGTCAGCCCGAAGATGAGCCTCACCTACAAGCATTATTTGGGGCTCCTTGGGAGTGACAAATTTGGGACCTGTCAAGCAAAGATGGGTCACCCTTCTCTACAGCGGTCTAAAAAGAGAAACCATCAGATGAATAAACAATTGAGGGAAGGTGGTTTTCATCACTTCAATGTTTCCTTGCCTTTACTTCAACTTGCTGCACAAGCAAGGCAGTGCCATTTGGCCGCAGTCTTTGATACGCACCTCCTGACACGCACCAAAAAGGTTGCCATAATCTGACAACAAGCATGAGCCCCCCTTCCCCACTGTCACCCTTTTCTGCCACACAGATCTCTTTTTCCTAAGCCCACACCCCTTGCTCAGGTCTGGATCCATCCCCGTCACAACCTGGCACATTCTCTGCACCTCCTGCTGGCCTCTTCCCCCTCTCAGCACTTTCTTTCCATCAAACCCACTTACGCTGCAGAGCTGTGTGCAGCATCTGAAGAGCTGGCACAGGTCAGACCATGCCAGGGACAACTGTCACAATTTAACTGTGCAGACGATTGAATTAGATGTTTTGGCATGGCTTAGTTTATCAGTATTAATGAGGCTGAAAGAATCATGCAATTCTTTGGGGAACTTTGCCTCACTCTTCCCTTTCCCTTCTGGAATCTTGACCATCCACTCTATCCCACTCCTTCCCACCTCTGCCAGCTGCTCCAGAGATGCTGGGTGCAGGACTGGTGAGGCCATGGCTTGGCCCCCTTGGTTAGGAACATGGATGCACAGGCAGGAGACAGCAGAATAAGAGGCAGAGAGTTGGGGGATGCATACATCGACAGGACTTTTCTTGAGTGGAAGAGCAAGAAAATGTAGTTTGGAGGGGGTTGAGTTTTTCTAAGAAAAATATACGACCTTTCTCCAAACCTTAATTCTATCTTGTGGCTTTGCATATTTAGTTATCTCTCACCATAGCAGATGACTCGGCTTGAGTACTACAAGCATGAATGGAATTTAAGAAATTAACTGTAAAGATGCAGAGTTCTGTCCACAGGTAAAATTTCCTGCCATCAAAAAGCCTGCATGAAGGTTTTTGGATCTGGGCTGCCACTGCTGAGATTTTGCATAGAGAGTCATCGCTGCGATTCAGACTCATGATACAGTGAAACTCTGACAAACTTGGATGTCGTTGCACTGAACAATGCTGCCTCAGCAAGCTGTTTGGGCATGTTTCCCTCTCACTTTCCAACGTACCTTCCCAGCAAATTCATTAACCACACATGCACTAAAAATGCTTGGAGCGGAAATGAGAACAGAAGGAGTAACAATTCTTCTGCTAAAAGAGCTGGGGTTTACGTTTGTTCTTCGTCTGCACCTTCCCCTGCCCGGGTGTGACACAAAGGAAATCTCTGCAGCTGATCCAGAACTTCACAAACTGACGGATTATGCACCACAGATACTGACAGGCCCCTTTGCTTACAAGCTGGCAAACACCACAACAGTAATCTCCTCTCTGAGATAAAGTCCATCAATCTTATTCTTACACCAACCTGTTCCCCTCTGCCCCTCAGACAGAGCTGGAAGAGCAGCCCTCCTCTGGAAGGATACTAAAATCTTTCCTTGCTCGGCGCCCTCCTATTTTAACTTACTTTTTCAGCTGGCCTCCCATCAGAGTCAGGTCAACACATATCCATTTTCTGTGCTGAGCTGACTAGTTTTCAATAACAATTGCTCCTCTGTTTTGTAACAGAGATCAATAAAACTGCCCCTCTCTCATATTGGCTGAGATTCCAGCAACGTCATTTGCTCTTTATTGTTGCTACTGCTTTGTTTTGCTTCCCTTTTTCTTTTTTCTTTTTTTTTTTTCTTTTTTTGGCAAGGCACAGATCAATTTAACAAGATGAAAACGACTTAGACTTTCACTCAAGGTAAAATCTGCACTTTATAACCCAGGATGTAATTTACAATCCTGTCATTAAGCTCCGTTAATCCTATTATTATGAAGATAAATAATTACCCATAGCGAAGAAAGGGATTCCCAACAGAGTAGAATTATATTTTCCATCAGTAATGAAAAATATCCCTGCCGCAGTGACACTGGAAATACAGATAGTGAGTACTCCCAAGAGTCCCAGGAAAGGTTTGCTACGCAGGCAGTCCTTCATGGAGCTCGAGAGGGTAGCAGTCAGGAGAATCAGCATCAGGCTCACCAAAATCTTGCCCCTGGCCAAGAGACTGGTCTGGTGGAAGTCCTTCCAGAGGCTAAAGGACGCTAGTGAGTAGAGCTGCAGATCTTGGTGATCCAGCTGCATCTTGTGCATCAGTTTACAGAATTCACTCTCCCACTTCTCCCCAATGAGGTCCTGGGTGACAGAGCCATACGTTTGGAGGTAGTAAGTGATTTGGATGGCTCTGGCTGATTTGACTCTCTGGTCCTTGCTGTTTGGTACTTCCATGACCCCTCCAAGCTGGTGGCCAATAAAACTGCTCCTTCCATCCTGGGAGGGAAAGTAAAAAAGATGAGCATGTGGTTATCCTGTGTAAGATGTGATACAGTGATAGTGTTTGACTCTACCTTCCTTTCACAGACATGCCAAGATCTCAACTCAATGGCCACTGCAGTCAACAGCAGTTGTGTCATTCACTTCAGTGGGCTTTGGGACGCATCCCTATTCCCTGCCACAACTCTGTTCCTTACTCATTATAGACTCATTTGCAATTCTGTGCTGCAGTTCAGGGACTGCCCAGACACTCATTGTGGTCCCAGATGTTCGGGGACTGAAATGTAGCATGCAAGCTCCTTACCCCGCGAGAGATAATCACTTTCCCACATTTTAACTGTGATAGACAACAACAAACCTCCAATTACTGAAGTATGAAATGTTTGAGATGAAGATTAATTTCTGGAAGATTTGTGATTTCCTGACACTTTGGAAATGCTTTTAAAAAGTTGGAATCTACAGAAAATGAGGCCTGGTTCCTCAGTACAAAGATGTAAATATAGATAGATCCAGTTTAGTAGCTTCTCTGGCTCTAGAACAATATAATTAAAATCAGACTTTTTGAATTGTTTGTTTGAAGTTTCATGGATTTCTATCAGTGGCACAGGGATAAGAATCTACCTTACATCTCGATTTAGCCAGGATTTCAAAAATATAAACCTTACTTTGGTCTCACTTATTTCAGTTTATGCTAGGACATAAAATCTCCATGACAATCAGTAAAGGACACATCAGGTGCACTCAGGATCAGCCTCCATCTATTTACAAGATCAGACTACATTTTTGTAGAGTTATCTGGTCCCATTTAGATATTTTTTTTCTTTTTTATAAGAAAGGTTTTGTAAGAAAGGTCCTTGCTTCTTAGCCACTGGTTATTCTAGTTCTCTAGAATAACTGTGATGTGCCCCTTTCAAGACAGGAGAAACTTCCATGGAATAGATCAAACCCAGTTGCAAACTGAGGAAGAAGACTCAGTAGACTGGATAAAAATGTCCTAGCACAAGTAATCTCTTTGATCAAAAAATCTAAACCCAGGGATTACATGCCTGTTGCACATTAAAAACCAATATTTTGCATTTTTGTGTAAAGGGGATTAAAAGTTTTCAGATTTCTTTCCTCTTGTATTTAATAGAAACATAAAATTATCACGCATGTTAATATATTAAAACATCTTGCAGGAGCGAGTTCACACGAGATAATAGTCTTTGCCTAGATGTGCTATGGGAATGAGCTGACTGACAGCCTGAATTTGGGAGATGCTCTGCCCTACACACACACATGGAAGCAGTCATCTGCAAAAGGCCAGAAGCATTTGGGGGAGATGCTTTTAACATCTGTTACATCCAACATTAACCATTTCTAGAAACACCTGTGCTGCACACAGGTCATTATCTGAAATTGCCAGACCTGCTCGCCATAATGATGCCCATCCTAAGGAAAAATCAATGAAGCAAGGTACCGGGCTTTATGAAACATAGATGTCTTCTGGGATGTCTGCTCAAAGAGCAAATAAATATCAGAAATTGAGAGACAGCGCTGAAAATGCTTTATATACTCACCTTGCCTTGTATCTGGTATGTAAAGGAGGCAATCGTCCCAGAGAAATTTCTGCCTATGCCTGCTTTCATGGCAGGAGCTCACACTGTTTTCAGCATTTGCCTGCCACAGCCCAGGGAACGTGACAAAGTGCTTTTCAGAAGTTCATTTTTTCCCTATTCCCAGTTGTTATTTCCCATTGAAATAATGGCTTCTGGCAAGGTATCCTGGCACAAGCTGACATGAAAGATGATTTGCAGTCTAATGCCAGCTTCTCAAATCACCTGAAGCCTCATTGCAAATGTCATATAAGCAGAGACAGCTAGCACAGAGGGGCAGCTGGTGCTGTTTGGACTCCAAAAAATCCTCGTCTCTGGCATTTCATGTTAGAATCCTGTTTTGATTCATTATTTCTATTTTTTTCTAAGGAGGGGTCACACCTGACACTCACAAAAGGTACATTTCCAAGCTGGTAATTAAGGTTTGAGCAATGCAGTCCCTGCTCACATCAGATGCAACTTTGCAGTTAAAAATCCCCTTTGGCACTGCTTTGAAATTTTAGGGAGAAATGTCGTATTTCCTCAGTATATATGCAGTGTTGACATTCAAACGTTTTCAGCCACTGCAGGATGCTTTAGCAGCACAGCTCCAAACTCAGACAATGGACTGTAATTCAGATTTCATTGATTCACTATGCAGCATGCATGGCAAGGTTATGGGAAACTTTGTGATGACCATCTGCCTTCCTCTGCGAAAGGTGCACCGAATGACGGCAACATTTCAAAAGAGGCAACAGAGCAGGCACAAATAAATCATGTTCTGCTGTATCTCCCATGAAACAGAAGATAACAGCTATTTGTTACACTGATGTACAATAGGGCACCCAGCTCATATGTCAGCAAAATAGAGAGCAAGCTTTCAGATGGAATCGGGGAAATCACAGTTGTTGAATTGCTTTGAGGTCATTTTGTCCGTCCCCTTCCTTCCAAAGGCAGTTTGCTTCCTATCTATGCAAGGGTTTTGCCTTTTCTGCTTTTATAGCATGCAAATATGAACCTGCCACCACGGCATTTGGGAAAATGGGGCTGTTTTCTAATACAGCTCACATGCTGGCATTTCCAAATGTTGCAAGTGAGATAAAGGTCCTGTTGCGCTAGGCAGGGCTGTCACATCAATGGTTACAATTCCTCAGCAAGGAAGACAGAATAAAGCTGGGAAAAAATATTGCTTTTCATCACATTTTACAGATGGAGACTGAAGCGTGGGAAAATGAAGACAGAGCTGCCAACACAACTTTTTCTAGAGGCCGTCAAGCCAGGGATCTAACTACCTCTTGGTGTCTCATGGGCACTTCAGGGGAGTTATTCACCATCCCCAGTTCTCTGTTGTCCTCCAGGACCACACTGGTGGAAGAAGGAGACATCAACGGCTAAGCTCCTGGGCTAAGCTCTAAGGTTTGGGAGACAAAATGAGGCCACAGTGACTAGTATAAATGAGGCCTGAAGACCGGGCAGGTTTTGAACAAGATCCCTCATTCTACCTAGTTCCTCAATGAAAAAAAGCACTTCCTGCTGTTTAATTCACAGCACATCCTTCCTGGAATACGCCTACATGATGCTATTTTTAATTTCATAAAAATAGTTTCATGTTTCAGACTACAGATCCCTTACACATTTTACCTCCATATATGTTGCTACTCTCTGATCTCATACACAGAAAAGCAAACTCAAAAAATAAAGTAATAACAATACTTGTTGGTTGTAGACCATTTTATACCCATGTATCTCCAGAGGATCTACAACACAAGATGATAACTGTCTTTAGCAAGGTCACTAGCATGGCTGGAGCCTGAATTTCAGATTCCCAGGTTATGTCTATGTGATTTTTTCTTTCCTTTTTTTTTAATGCCTAGTGAAAACTTCACAGTGTCTGTTCTCCCAGAGGACAAAAAGGGCCATCATCTGTTCTGATGGCAGCTAATTCTCTCCAGATCTGAGTATCTTCAAAAAAGTGATGAAATATAGATCACTTGATAGGGCATGTGATATTTGATCTTAAACAGGGGCCAAACAAAAATCTTTGCTTTCCTGGATACTATTAAATTGTTTTTTGTGTACTCCCTTCTCTTTTTCTAGATGCCCCAAAGCCATCTGGTAGATTTAGACTCTGAAAGAGAGGAGGACGAGAACTAAGGACTCTCAGCGGAGTGAGAGATGACAGCCATCAACAGCATCATCCACCTTTTCCCCCAGGATGATGGATTTTGCCACCAGCATTAATGCAGACCTGGCCTTGCACGTGGTTGAAAATCCAAACTCCTTGTCAGTTCAGTAGTAAAAATCACTAATGGCGAATGGGTGGATGCAGAATAAACCCCTACCATAATTCAGGTTAGAAACTTGTCTGTAAAGGATGCTCGGACCTTTAATGTCCAAAAAAGATGTGTAAATGGCAAGGGAATGTTTGGGTTGCTCCAGAGCTGAGTGCAGGACCTCTCAGGTTAAACAAAACCAGCTGCTCCTACTGAGCTAGATATATTTTGCTGGGGCTAATGTAGACACAGATCCTCTCTGCATGCAGCCCAGAGGGATACCAGCAATACGCCCTTACTACTAAATTACCTGGGACCATTTTTTTTTCTTAATAGTTCCAGTGTGGCTGCTGCCACCCTGACTCCCATCCCTGGGGTTCCGTGTGGTCACTGCCCTCTGCCACACCAGCCCTGGGCAGATCCCCTTCTCCTCCCTGCTTTCAATGGCACCAGCCGCCACTGACTTCCTTCTCATGGGAAAAAGAGAGGGTTTAACATATTTTTGAGATGGCGTGGCTCCTGCCTTCCCAGTGCCCTGTTCAGTGGAGGCTAGGGCTGTTGAGAGGTTTAAAAGTAATTTCAGATCCCTGGCAAGGAAGACAGGAGCCTTTGTGCCCTATTGCCAGACAAGTCTCATTCAAGTACTTTCACAGAACCTTTGCCAGCAAATTTATCTCTATTTTTATTTTTCTTTAACTGCTACCTCTTATCAACTGGAGTGATGGATAATTATCAAGCTACATTCTAGAAATATTAGGATAAAGCATGCAATCCTGGTTAAACTCTGTTTTGTCTTAAAAGCTTAAAAATGTTCAACAGAGGGCAATCACGAATGTCTGTCGAAATATATTGTGTGATAAACATCCTAATGAGATCAATGCAGTTTTTTCTCACTGTGATAAGGACATTCCTACTCTACCAAACATAGGTCATAGAAAGTATTACACTCAAATCCACAGAGGTTAGGATGAAGTCAGTTGCTTTAGTTCACCTAAAGTTTTCAAAGTAAAATAGAATAAAAATCCCCTTTCTTTGAGACATTATTTAAGATTTAACATATTTGGTTGCTCCTACCTCCCTCTGGCTCACTGTAAAACTTTGGAGGAAGTTTTTTTCTCCCCATCCAAACTGATTTCTCTCTCCCTGTCCGTGGTATATTTATCCAGGGAGACCTTATACCAGTCAATCCCTATTACACAGCCACCAATTACCAACAATTCCTGAAGCACCCCTTTCACACAGTCGCATGTAACACTGATTTATGCCAGCACAGCAGTTTTCCTGCCGTCAGAGCTGTGTAGGTGCTCTTGCACACCCACCAGACTGCTTGCTGTGCTTGTCCCTGTGCAGCTATTCTGTACGGCTCAGCGATGGAGAGTCCAGGGCAAGTGAGCCCTGAGGGCAATGCATTCGAGGTAAAACTGCACTGTGGCTGAATGGGAACAGGGACTGCGTGGTCTGTTCACTCAGCAAAAATAAAATGTATGAAAGTGGCCATAAGAAGCTATCCAGGAAATAATCCTCTAGGTCTCTGCTGCAATAAAGAGCAATTAATTTATTTCCAGCTATCCAGCAAAGATGAGGTTCAGCTCACCAGCTAGTCAAGCAAATTTGTTTTACAGTCACTGGGAAGAGGCAGGCGCATCCAAAGGATGATCCACCCCATCCTAAGGTACAGGTAAAAACCAACTTGCCCTTTGCAGTTGCCTGTATCTTTCCATTTACAGCAGAGGCATGAGATTACTTAAGGCTTGATCCTAGCTTTTATCAGGCGAAAAGGTTAGGAGAGATTAACTCACCCTCAGTGGCAGATGCAAACACAAAACTAGCTGACCTGTCTTGACATCCTTGGCTCATATTGGCCTCTCCACAGGCAAGTCCTGCATGTTAACAAACATACGGAACTTGAACCCCCTCCCAGGGAAATCAAGGATCACAAGAGTGATTTTTAAGCGAAGGAGATGAGTACACAGAACATCCAAAAGGCAACTAGAACCATCTGGTTCCTCTTTCTGATGAGTGTGGACTTGTGCTCCTTTTCTTTACTGCTTTGGGTTTCTAGTTTTTGATCAGGTAATTTGAAAGAGACAAGGTCAGGAGAAAAGTATTTCAAGAGACTTATATACTCTAGGCTAAATAACAGAGAATAAGAGAAGTGCTCCTAACTATTCCTTCCAAGTAAATCAAATTATGGGGGAATTCATAAGGGTGCAGTAGCAGAGTGTGATTGCTAGTGGAGACCTCTTCTGTGTGGAGGGGCTTCTGGTGCTGGACACACTGTATTTCTGAGTGGTCCTCTCCACTTTGCTTCTTCAGTATCACCCCATCAGGTTTTCAGCTGTCAAGAGAGGGGAAGGCCAGAGGGAACGCAGAAAAGGCTGTCCCTCTGCCTTTGTTTCCCCTGCACATCCCCAAGGAATGAAAATACAGGATAAGCTCTGTCCCTTCCAGATCAGCTCACTCCACACCAAACCTTCCCTCCTAGACTGTATTTCATGTTTACATCCATTTCAAACCTCCTGTATTCTTTGTCCTACCTTCAAGCTCTTCATCACTCAACTAACTCCTTCACTCTCAAGGTCAGATTCCCATTCGGTCCACCTACCTCAAATCCCATCCCAGTTCTTCTGGGAAAAGAGGGGTGGATTTACTGCCCAGTTCTCTCCCAGCACAGATTTGTCCCCGGTTGTCCTAAACTGCACCTGTGCTCCCAAGGACACAGTGGTGTCTTTGAAGCTGATGAGTAATAACCATGTTGGCTGTAATTACACACCTCCCCTGTGTGGGGAAGTGTGTTGCTGGAAGATGGAGGGTTACAGACAGCACAAAGAGGACCGCAAGCACTGGGAGGTAATTTCAGGGCACAGCTGGCCTATCTCCCTTTTTCTTCTTCTCCCCTCCACCAGGAGCAGGATCACAGGCACAGCAGTGGAATAGCTTTGGCACTGACAGTTCAGGCAGTGACAGGTGAGTTGGTGGCTGCACCCCAGCCCTGCAAGAAGGATCCAAGGGTGAAGGGCACAGACGGCTTTGGGTGTCCAGTGGCCTGGGGACTGGTGAGATGGCAGGAGAGGAAGCCCTGCAGTGGGTGGCTCAGCAGAACTTGCGGTCGGTGACATCAGTTCACCTTCCACAGGAGATTCGTGTCAACAGGATCTCTCAAGTAGTAGGTAAGCTTGGATATGTAAATCTACCAGGTCAGGTCTTAAAATACCACTGTCCTATTGTTTTCAGCAGGCACAGAGCCACAGCTCCCTCCCTAATTTATATCGTCCTTTGAGTTTGTGCTCTGCCCTGTCCAGGACCAAAAACCCTCAAGGCAGTCACCTTGGGCTTAGCCCTCTGCTTTTCACTGCCTGTCACTGCCAGTGGAGCTTCCCTAGTATCACAGAGCAAAAAAGTCAGACTGCATCTAGCCCCTAAATCCCCCAGGATGAAGGATGATGGTAAAAATAATCACCTCAGACCAACATAGTGTCCCCCGCCCGGGTTCCTGTCTGAGCGATGGCTGTGGACAAACTAAGTGAGAAGCTTGCTTTGTGGGGGGATTTATGTAGCAAGAAAGTGGTCAATGATGCAAAAGAAGTGGAGTTTGTTGTGACTGTAAAATAAAAGTGGGGCTATGGAGTGGGGTGCCCTAAAGAGACTGGAGGTGTGAAAAAGAGGGAGACAGGAAGGAGAGAACGCGGGGTGAGGTGTAATGAAGCAGCAGTTCTCGTTGCACTTTGACCACCCAGAAAGAGGGCAGGAGAAGGCAGGTGGGAGCAAAGCTGCTTTCACATCCTCCTGCAAACAGCAGAGCTGTGCTTCCCGTGCCCCGTGCCAGTGGCAGCAGATGAGCGCAGCCTTGCACTGCAGTCCCTGCTTCAGCTCTCGCTGCCTTCCCACCCCCCTCCAGCCTCCCTCCTTCCCACCTCCCCACAAGGACCCAAACCACACGGTAGCATCAAGCAGAGAAGCAATAACTCATGGCTGGGTTTAGCTACCCTAAACTGATCCCCCACCCCAACAGAAGAATAGGAAATTTCAAGCATTTCTACCCCAAAAGTCACATTTCTGGCTGGGTAGCACATGTGTTATTCCTTCTTGCTGGCATCTATCTGCTCTGAGGC